ATCAACAACCTCCCTGGGCAACCTATTCCAGTTCCTCACCACCCTTAGAGTGAAGAATTTCTTCCTAATATCTAACCTAAATCTCACCTCTCTCAGTTTAAAACCATTACCCCTTGTCCTATCACTATCTTCTCTGATGAAAAGCCCCTCCCCAGCTTTCCTGTAGCCCCTTTCAAGTACTGGAAGGTGCTATAACGTCTCCCGAGAGGCTTCTCTTCTCTAGGCTGAACAGCCCCAACTCTCTCAGCCTGTCTTCATAGCAGAAGTGTTCCGAGCCTTTGATCATCTTGCTTGCCTTTCTCTGGACTCTCTCCAACAGATCTATATCTTTCTTGTGCTGAGGCCACCAGAGCTGTACACAGTACTCCAGGTGGGGTCTGACCAGAGCAGACTAGAGGGGCAGAATCACCTCCCTGGCCCTGCTGGCCACACTTTTTTGATGCAGCCCAGGATGCAATTGCTCTCTGGGCTCCAGCACACACTGGTGGCTCATGTTGAGCTTCTCATCAACTACCACCCCCAAGTCCTTCTCCTGAAGACTGCTCTCCAGCCATTCTTCCCCCAGCCTGTGTTTGTGCCTGAGGTTGTGCCGACCCAGGTGCAGGACCCTGCACTTGGCCTCGTTGAACTTGATGAGGTTGGCACTGGCCACCTCTCCAGCCTGTCAAGGTCCTTCTGGATGGCATCCCTTCCCTTAGGATGTCAGCCACACCACACAGCTTGGTATCATCAGCAAACTTGCTGAGGACACACTCAATCCCACTTTCCATGTCTCCAACAAAGATGTTAAACAGCACTGGTCCCAGTGCTGACCCCAAGAGACACCACTTGTCACCTGCCTCTGTTTGGACATTGAGCCATTGACCACAATTGCTGAATTGCCACTGCATAACACTCATCATAGCTCTCCAGTTTTCTGTCTAGAGATTGATGACTGCTGTGAAGTTTGAGCAACACTTTCATTCACATCTTCAGAGCTGCAGTGTTGGCACCTCCTAAACCAGGTGGCTGGCAGGAAAACTGCACAGACAACGACTTACTTGGAGCCTTGGCTTCAAGAAGGGAGGATGAAGAGGGATGTCTTTTTATTCAGTGGGCCATCCTCTTAAACACATATCAGCCACACTCAGTAAAGCTGTTTTCTCACTTTGAGGTTAAGATCATAGGTTTTATGACATCTCATAAACTCATAAAGCTGAGTACAGCTTTAATGCAAGAGTGAAAATATGTGCATGCATGCATATGCATATCTTCTTTAAATCCAAGCTGTCCAGGGCCACCTGTGAGACTTCTTTTCAAGAAGGACCTAGACCAGGGAGGAGGTGCTGCTAAATGTGTGCGCATCACAACCCAAGACTGTAAACCATGCCTGGTGCTGTTCTCAGGAGCAGGTGCATACCTGGCAGCAAATGCTTATCATTGGCTTTTTGAGGGGCTCTCAAACTGTCTCTTCATTTCAGCCTGTTTATTGAGAGACACTGGGTTCCTAGGGTTGATTTGTGCTGCCAGAGCTTTGCAGGGGTGGGAAAACAGATGGCTTTGTCTGGATTGTAAGCTGGTCCAGACTAGTCTTACCCAAGATCTGTGCTCAGAAATGTTGGCATACAGGGACATTTTTTGGCAAAGGTAGCAGAGGCAATTCTAATATAATGTGATGACTCCCTGTCTCACTAATATCTCAGACCCATGGTAACTCCAGCTAAAGTCATACTCAGTCTGGGCAAGTGAGGCTTTTTCTGGAGCCAACATAAACAAATATGTAAATGAATTAATTAATTAATACATAATACACCATACATACATACATACATATATACATATATGCAAGCCAACACCCACACCAAAAACTCTCCCCAAAGCTGCTCCCCATTACATGCACTGCATCCTGCATGGTACTGACCCATCTTGGCTCTTTCGATCCCCAGAGAACAAGTATTCCGTTGAGAAAAAGAATGTAATTTTATGTGGCCTATAGACACAGTACTCTGTCACTATAGGTGCTTCTACTGCTGGACATGCTCCATGGCTGATTGGATGATTTGCTGGCAAGGTATGAAACTACTTATGGAAACCATGTTAGGAAAGCACTAGCATTCATCTTTCTCAACTGCAGAGTCAACAGAAATTGCCAGTTAATAATGCTTCTCATATTGCTTAAGTGGCCAACAATCAAACTATTCATGCCAATGAATACCATAATGGAGAAATTATTAAATTCACATTTTACTTATATTGCTATAATAAGGAAGCAGCAGTAGATATATCAGGTTCCCTTCACCATGAATATTGGAAAGCAAAGGAAAGGTTTTGCTGGTGGGTGAAGGAAGGTCTAGAGATTTACCCCACTCATGGTGGAAGGAAAAAGAGGAAGCCAGAGTGCCTTGAGACCGTGCATCATATCTGCTGACACCCAGTTCAAAGGTGACCCAAATGTTGTGCATGCTGATATTGTTGCACCAGCATTTGGATCCCTGCATTTCATGTAATCTTGTGTCCAAACTAGCACTCAGACCAGGTGCTGTGTCCTGGGACAGTGATCTGTAATAGCCCCTCCCATCCTTTGTCCCCCATTGACAACCATCCTCTCCTCACTCTCCCGCCCACCAGCCCACCCTTCTACCTCCTCACTCCCTCCCTCCCACTGCCCTCATCCCCTTCCCCATGTTCATTCTCAGTGGTCGTTGCATGTACGTGCCTTGGCCCTCTTCAGCTCATTAAGCCTCCTACCTTGCCTCATGTTTTGACAGGTTTTGTGAGTTTTGACAATCCTGCCAGTGCTCAAGCTGCTATCCAAGCTATGAATGGCTTCCAGATTGGCATGAAAAGGCTGAAGGTGCAGCTGAAGAGGCCAAAGGATGCTAATCGTCCCTACTGAAGAGTTGTGGGAACCAGTGGATACAAAGCACTAGCACAGGTAACTGCATGGGGAAGGGGGTGACAGCTGCGGTTGTAGCCTCTCTTTGTGTCGTAGAATCTCAAAAAGATTCAGCTCTGTGACACTCTAGCTTCTGCCTTTTTCATTTAGGCCTCTGGCTAGAGCCACACTGCACAAATACACATCCACACAGAAACCAGGAACAGTTTGTGTGTGTGTGTCTCTTTAGAAAAAGAGGTGGAAGGATGCTTAACGAGGCATGAGCCAAGTTCCCCACCCCAGGGCATCCTGCACCTCTAGAAAGTCTTTCTGGTCACTAGAGGAGAGCCTACAGCTGTCCTGATTCCCCTTGCTCAGCCAAAGAGAGCATTTCTGGTGGGTGAAGATCTGCAGTTAAGCAATAGGGCTAGACTGCAATTTAATCCCAGGTGACTGGACTGGGACAGTGTCTGTCTCAATAGCTCTGTGTTGCAAATGTTTCACAGTGTTCTTCATTCTTCACGCAGTATAGTCTGTATCCAGTTTCATCCCAGCATAAAAACCTTGATGCAAATATGTTGCCCTGACAACTAAATACCTCCTAACTTCTTCCTTCCCAAGCCCAAGAAATTAATAGAAGGATCCATGCTCAGTTCTTGCTCAGTTACTGTTAACCTCTATGTGTAGATAAAACCCAACCAAAACCAAGGAAACTTTGCATGAGTGATGACCTAGACAAATCTGACCAAGGGTCTCATTGTCAGACTCATGCACTTTGTGTTGTTGGAAAGGAGTCAGTTTGATGCTCCAGGAGAACTTCTAATGCATGTAACAGTATAAAAAATACCAGAAGAAGAAGTTTGTTTTGTTGGAATCCCAGCCTGTTGCCTACAAAAAAACAAGATGTTTCCAAAAGTGGAAATATTTTCCACCACTGGCTGGCTTTTCCATTAGACAATTCCTTGCTAATCATATGTATGAAACCACCTGTGATTGTTACAGAGACAGGAAGTGTCCATGATGTTAAAACTGATCCATACCAGAGGTTTCCTAATAAACGTAAGCCCTAAACTGTAACAAGCAGTTTGCACTCCCAAATTATTGACACAGGGAAACAGGGAAGGGTTAGGTGACCTGTTCCTGGACATTATAACCAGTGTCTAAGATTCAGCTATTTTGATTCAGGACCATTTGGCCCATCAAAGGTACAGGCAGGAAATCCCTTCAACCTTCCCAAATAACTCTGAAGTGTTTCTCGTGGGTATCTCTAATACCTTTGAAAAATGTAATATCCAGAGCAGTGTAATGTAATGTTCTTGTCTTCAGAGCAGTATCCTTACCCCTGAGAATTAAGGAACGGCATCAAAATGTCTCTGAAAGAGGTGCTGCACTGAAAACAACATGAAGTGGATTAAGGAACCTTGCAATAAACTTACCAGGTGCATGTGCAAAACACAGCATCCATAGTTTAGACTCTGCTTTTTATATGACTATATGAAGACAATGGTGAAAGCATGTTTACTCTTTAAATACCTCTTTTCTTTTCCTTGCTTATGACAAGGCCTCTTGGAAGCTTGAAACCAAAATACTTTTCCATATCCAAATGCTTTTTGCTTCATTGCACTGGCTTTTTACTGCAGGTTTTGCAAGGCGAGAGCAGAATGTGTACGCATGTGATTTTTTTAAAGCAGGGACTGTCTATGGTGGGGAAATTTTCAGTAACACCTGCCAAGGGATCAAGGAACACAAGTGTCTCCCTAGTTTGGCCTGAAGCAATAACTTTATATCATAGCATAGTTGTGATCATTGAGTGTATGCTTGTTTCTTATGGTTGTGTAAAAAGATGCAGGGCTGCAGACACCTGTGTTGTTAAAGACTCACTTGCATGAGTCTACAGAGTTCTCATTATCATGGATCATTATAAAGTTCTCTGTCTCTGCTTTTTTACAATCCAGCTGATGGTGAGATCTCAGTTTGTTTCCTATAAAAAGATTACTCAGTAACAGGGTTAAGGTTTGTTGCTTGGGGTTTTTTCCCCTAAATAAATTCTATAATAGAAATCAGCTGGTAAAACAGAAATAAAATTCCATATCTATCCCTTAGAGTAGGTCTTTGTCTTCTCTTTGTTTCTGCAAAGCAGGAGAACAGTCTTGAATTGTTGCCTCTAAATAGGAAGTCTTTTAGGTATTTTGGATCCATCTCATTCTTCAGTTCATCTGCTTTCTGCTGTTTGGAAACACCCATACCATCACCCTAGAACCAGACAGAGGATTTTTAGTCATGATAGCCAGAAGTCAGTTTCCAGCCAGGGCAGCAGGATGCTAAGCCCTCAGGAATAAGCCTTACTTAGAGACTGGTCAGTTGTTCTTGGCTCAACACTGTATTATTGTATCCCTAGGGCTCATTTGATGTGCATCTTACAGTCATTCTCCAAAATACCACTGGAAATCTCTGACTTGCCCACTCAGTAGACAGTGTCATTATTGCAAGAAGAAGCTTCCCAAAAACATTAGGACAGAAGCCAGCCAAGCCCATGGGTACGGCACAGATAGCTACTGCAAAGCTTGAGAGCAGGCAGCTCTCTTAACTGGCAGAAGCACAGTAACTCCTGTATGTTTTTTGTCTAGTTTCACTTTGCTCATAGCTCTTCAGGGTCCTTAATTCCAATTTGAAGCATGTGCATAGCCATATTGACATCAGGGCAATTACTCATGTGCTTCAAGAGGATGCTCCAGAAAGTTTTTAATTGGGATTTTTCTAAGGAAGAGCTTTGTTATATTGAACTCTTTTCCAAAAATAAGAAGCTGCCAACAAAAACCACAAGCAGCACCCAGTTTGATGTAATCCACCAAGGTGTTTTTTCCTAACCAAGAAAGAAAGTTCTTCACTCAATTTTAATTCTGGATGTACTTTTTTTTTTAACTTCTAAATTTCCCTTTTGGGACACAAGCAGCCTAGGCCACAGTGATTTGAAGTCCTTTATTTTCCTTGAAAGTGCTCTAAAGTTGCTGTCAAACACTAAAAGGGTCTCTGATGTGGCAGATAAACCCACAAGCTGCAGCAAGCAAAGCCCTGGAGAATTCAGATGGCAAAATATTTCCAAAACAGCTGCCTCTGCTCTCTATTTTTTTAATAATTAAAGAGGTGTTTGTAGGAAAAATAATAATAATAATAATAAAAAGAAATGAAGGGGAGCAAGGGGGAGAAAGCAAAAGAAAGGAGGATCATTTGAGGCAACTCTGTCAAAATCAATATCGTCTATGACAAATCCCCCCTCAGGACTAGGAAGCAAGGATTCAGAGACATTTCATATGTCTTTCACATAGTAAATGCAGAGAACAATAAAACAAACACACAAACAAACCAAACACAAAAAAAGCACACACACAAAAAACACCACACAAAAAAACCCACAACAAAACAAAACAAAAAATCCACAAAAGAGCCCAAACAAACCAAAACCAAAACCAACCCACCCTGAAAGCCATAGCTCCATTGACTGGAGCCATGGAGCTCCATTTGCCATTTCCAGTACCATGTGATATGGCAAAGCTGTGGGTACAAACTGTAGCGGATGGGGTTGGGTGTGGGCCCTTTGTCTGGCCAGCACAATGAGGAACTGCTGGGGCAGGCAGAAAGACTAGCTTCTCTAATCTTCCCATAGGAGCAGAAGTGATTGGTGTGATTCCTGCCCTCCGCACTGAGACTAGTTCCCCGATCTTAGCCTTATCCATACTAAGTCAGTGGTAGCCGTGATAGGACAATATTGCCTGGAAATCCTCATAATTCACAGCTTTTCCAGTATTAAGGACTTAACAGAGCAGCACAGAAAAATCCAGCTGATAGATCAACAGAAGACATTGCAAAGAGCAGTGAAAATCCTGTCTATCCCCTTCTGCGGCTTCATTGCAGTGTTATTTCCCACCCCAGACAAAGATTCTGCTGCTGAAGTTTTATTTAAATCTGAAGATGGAGAGACATTTGGGTGGGACTAACCTGGAGCATTGACTGGCATGAAATTGAGTGAGAGAAAGTGAGTGTGAATGAGACAAACTGAGTGAGGAGAAAGAGAAACAGAACAGAGGAAAATAACTGGTCAATACTAAGAATCTCTTTTTAGCTGTGCACCTAAGAGTAGTGGTAAAACATTAAAAGAATGCATTGTCCAGGCAACTTGCTTCTCCAAAATGCCAAGGAAAATAACATAAGCCAAAGCTCAAATACAAAAATAAGTGTTCAGGTCCTCCTTTGTAGCTTCTTGAACATGTGTATTTTACGGTAGAAGGTGTGAGATGCTTGCATTTGCAGCTGGCTGGAATAGATGGTATTTCTTCCCACATCAATGTCTTTTTAAAATTATTATTATTTTTTAATTCCAGATAACCAGAAACTGGAAAACTTTGCATTTTCTTTTTTTTTTTGTTTGTTTTGTTTTGTTTTGTTCTAAGAGAAAAACAACCAAACCACGTAACTTTTAAGTAAGCAGACATTAGCAGCCAAAAGCAAACAAGAATAATTCCAAATGCCTGTAAAGACAGAGATGTGAATAGCAGAATTCTGCTTACCTCTCACCATTTCAAATTACTTCAATGTGAAGTCTAGTGAAAGTGTATCTTTTACTGAATTTTAGGTTGCTTATCCCTCTCAGATAGGGTTGCATTACCTCCAGTGAGAGGCTATTCTGCTGTTGCATTGATCTCATTGTTGCCTATTAAGCTGATCATCATTTGGACTAAATATCCTTTATCAGGATCTAATCCCTTGTACTTATGCCTCCTGTAATCATGCTAACCAATTTCTCTGCACAGATTATTGTCATTTCCCTCCTTTAGTCATCACGTAGATAATTTAGGACTTGCTTACATTATGGAAATTTGCGCTAGTATAATTACATGAAAACAGTACTCCAGCACAAGCTTTAATATGAGTGAATAAAGTGAGAGCAAAATCAGAACAGGTTAATTTGGGAAAGTCTGTTCAGGTAGATGAAAAACATCAGCTAACCCTATTTATTTATTTAT